CTTTCCCTTTTGGCCTCCTCTGGCAATGGTCTAAGTGCAGCGTTCAGTGTTCAACTGACACCAGCACCTGGCAAAGCCCAGATACGGGGCTTAACACATGCAACACTGCACTTGTAAAACCTGATAAAGCCATTCTCCTTTCCACTTGCCATGCTTCTAGCAGCGAAAGACAGGCAGCGCTCCTGGAAGGCCAGGAGAAAGCAGCCTCTCGCCAGCCAATGCCAGGGGTGCCCAGCAGCAAAAGTCCTTGCTTATGAGAAAGGCTCATCAAAAACACCAGCCTGCCTGGCAGTTCTTCTCACACAGTGCCTACTGCTTGCTGCTGGGTAAAATTCAGTCTTCTCTTAATTTAGCTACACCAGGATTTCCCCCTCTGATTTCCTAGCAGAACTCCGAGGAATTATGAGGTTCAAAAGACAAAATGCCAGCAGTTCTGTAAGGTTGATTAATTTCCTGACTACACCAAACCGTATTTCACAGAATCACAATTTCTTCTAGATCAGCTGCATTTTAATGGTTTAAATTATCTAAAGTATCCTCTAACCATCATTTGGATTGGGAAAAGCACCAGCTGAAGCTAGAGATGACCTGTCAGATATAACTAACTGTTCTTAAAGTGGTTCTGCAACCTACAGTGCCAGCAAAATAAAGCACTTCTCCCCCTCCCGAATGCTGCAGACCCTCTGCACTCAACACATCAGCTCAAGACAGGGTCTGGTCCTGGTTTTATGTTTCAAGAACTTAACACTACGAACTGTCAGTAACTTTTCTTTTAACTCCAAGGCTTTGCTATACTACTTTGGACAGATTATTATATCAATAGCAGAAGACATTACTGCTAACTCCTTTATTTGTTACAGAGATGTAAAGAACACTTAGGATTTGGAGGGAGATGCACCCTCCTTCCAGTCTTAGGAAATACAAGAGGAGAAGCAGAACTAACTGTGTGCATGGCCCAGGTTGATGCTGGTAAGGGCAGAAGGAGGGGAGGGTACTGTATTAATACAGCTCCCTTTTGCAAAACCATGACAGCAAGCCCTAATGCAGAAATACAAGGAAAGGGAAAAACAGCATGAGGAAAAAAAGATCCAAGAAACTCTCCAAATGTCTGAAAGTAGGAGAGACAGCTGACAGTGAATGCCTACAGCAGAGCAATAGCAAAATGATCATCTCGGCAGAAATCATACAAGGAAAGAGAACTATGGTTAAGTAGGAATCTGTTATGAGTTAAACCCATCACTTTTGGACAACTCTGAAATGAGAAATCAGCCATGCTATCCAACCGATGACTGCTTCTGTTATGTTCTGGACAGTGAATTAACATAACTTTCTAGCCTGTAATAGGCCAAACCAAAATGAACCCTTGTTCTAGTCTTTCATGGGCACTTGCTGCAAGCAACCACCAAGGGGCTATGTACTCGGGGAACCCATCTCTGCAATACTGCAGTGCCCCTCTCCTGGGGGTCTCATGTTACCTGTGATGACCTGCGGAAGAGGGGCAGGATGGACCCCCCAGGTCCCCGTCCCAGGCTAAACACACAAATGCTGTCCCGACCACCAGCACTGTATGGAAACATTCCTCCTTTTGGCGTCCCCTCTCAGGTTCCCTCCCTGCAGAGCCACCAACCCGTGCTACATGCCCAACATAACCAATTACAGCATTAATTTATAGTTGCCAGCTGTGGGCTTCTACAATTTCACATAGTGGACAAGAATCTCTTGTCAGATGAGTGACTCCGGGTGAAAAATGGTGCTTTCACCACGACGGCCTCATGCTTGTGAATATAAAATACTGGGGTTGGTGTGGCTGCCAAGGTGGTGTGGAAAATGCATAGATTGAACTACTGCAAGTGAAAGAGAGTGACCGCTCACTACTCGTGATCTGGTGCACTTCCTCCACATGCTGTCTGGTGGCACTTCTACTCTCGCCTCCCCAGTGCTATTAAAAGCCTGCCCAAACCGAGCCAGCAGTCCACTGGATACAAACACACCAGTAAAACTGGAGAACACAGCCGTGCACGTTGCAAAGACTCAAATTATAGAGTACACGGACAACAACCTTTTCAAACCTGTCCCTTCCCCACCAGCAGGTAAAGCAAAAAAAGTGTGGTTATACCTGTATGAGTCTAAAAATAATTTCAACTGCTTATTAATGAGAATATGAGAGCCCAGATTTCTCTGAGATTGTTGGGGTGACATTCAGTATCCCCAGAGGGGTCAAAGTAAGAGATGGAGCAGACTGCACAAAGTGTTCAAGGCCAGGTTGGACACAGGGGCTTGGAGCAACCTGCTCTGTGGCAGGGGCTTGGAACAGGACGAGCTTTAAAGTCCCTCCGAAACCCCGAGCTGGGCTCCTCCAGCCTCCAGCACGCACCCAGGTGGCCTGCTCACAGCCACTGCGGCGTCACCACCCCGGCAGCTGAATCCTCTGGTGTCTCCGCTACCAAATCTCTGGAACATTTTTGGAAGTTAAGCTCATGGGACAGTAATTTTAAGCCTCCTGCAGGGAGAGAGTGCAGCCCGGCCTGTGCGGGTTTATCACCCTCGGCTAATCTTTCACAGTTTATAATGGCTGCTGTTATCAAGCCACGTTAAGGCAAGGTCCCGCTCACTCCAGCTCGGATATTCAAGGGTAACAACATGAGGATTTGAGACTTCAGTCAACTTACTTTTGTAGTTAGAGGCCCCCTGATAGGTATGTATATATATAATGTGTGTGTGTATATATATATACACACACACACACACAATATTGTATTACCCAAGTAATTATTTCTTTACTCCAAAGACGAGCATGAATTTATTGCTCTGGTGTCTCACTTCTCCCTTATCTCCCACGGAAAATGATTTTGCAGGCACAATTACGAAATACTGAACCTCTAGCCAAAGTCCATGTTATTTATCATTTGATAAAGATGTCAGGCATTTCAAACCAAGATGAAATTTCCTGTTAACTCTATTCCTCAATGCAAAAAGGCCAAAACATGTAATCAAAACCACATATTAGTGTCAGGCAATGAAATAAAAATCACTTTCTGGCACTTAATTTGCTTTAATCAATTTTTTTTTTTACCCCCATATGAATTTAGTAATGATGAAACATCTGGACATACACATTTTTCTTGTTCACAAAGTAGGTGGTGTCAGCACAAGTTTCGCCAGCTTTCTGTGCATGGAAATCATTGGTCCCTAATGTTTATTCAGCCCTTAAATATATCATTAATTTAAACTCAAGGACTACAGCAGGGTTTGTGCCTCCATCTCACCCTGGCCCCTCATCCTTTGAGGGGAAAATAAGAGGAGAAAAAAAAAAAAAAAAATCACAGAGGGCATCTGGAGGTTGTATTTTTCACTCGTAATGAAAATAAACATTTTCACACAGGTTTGAAAGGCCCAGACACTGTTTCTGCATGCAGGTTTCCAAGCACGCTTTCGGTTCGCACCTAGAAAAAGGAGGTTTCATCAAGCACGATTTTCAGTTTGAAGTCTTCTCCTCAATGCAACTTAGAGCAGCGTAAGTAACCAAGGTAAACCTGCTTTTCTCGTGTTTTACAGCATTTTCATCCTGGTTTTGTGAAGTGCAATGAATTTGTAATGCTCTGAAAACAGGTCAGTGGTAGATCAGAAACTCTTAATCTCTGGATAAAGATTATTTTAAGATCTCTCTATGCCACATATCAGCAGTAG